GTCTCTAGTGGCTTTGTCTATATTATTCTGTCTCTAGTGTCTTTATCTATATCAATCTGTCTCTAGTGGCTTTGTCTATATCATTCTGTCTCTAGTGTCTTTATCTATATCAATCTGTCTCTAGTGGCTTTGTCTATATCATTCTGTCTCTAGTGTCTTTATCTATATCATTCTGTCTCTAGTGTCTTTATCTATATCAATCTGTCTCTAGTGGCTTTGTCTATATTATTCTGTTTCTAGTGCCTTTATCAACATCATCCTGTTAATAGTGTCTTTATTTAGATCATTCTGTCTACCAATATTTACAAACTTTACTACTTGTCAGAACGGTTTAAACAGATATTTTTACAGTCTTTATATATATATATATATGAAACAACAGAAGTTAAGAGTAAATGTCTTTATTACTTTTCACAATTTAATTCACGAAAAGTAGGCAGCGTTGTTTCTCTGCCTTTACACAGACTATTTATAACAAAATAAAGTGTTTTTTGTTGTTGTTGTAACTAGAAAACAACGCATATATAGCGATCCCTAATTTTGAACTGACATATTAGAGGGAAGGTAGCTTTTTAAAAACACCCATCGCCAACACGTGGGCTGCTCTTGTTTGACTGAACAATGGGATATAAAAGTCACTCTTATAACACACCCATTACCCCCTATTGGTTGCGGACTATGAATTTATGGATTCACAATTGGAGCACGCTAACCTCTTGGCCACAACTGGACAGTTATAAAATAAAGTGACAGATATAGAAAAATCCGCTTTTACGATTCCAGATCATTAACCAATCACGTCAATGCTAGCATTAAAACATTGTAACACGCTCACATAGAAGTAATGTGCATGAGATAACCAATCACGTCAACGCTAGCATTAAAACATTCTAACACGCTCACATAGAAGTAATGTGCATGAGACTTCACTCTGTCTGACTAAACATGTACACCTGTTAAACATTTCTTCTCTGAAAGCTGGATTAACGAGCTCAAGAGTGTTAGAAATTGGAAGTTTCACACATATTCGATTGGATCGTCAGGAGCTCAAGAGTGTTAGCAATTGGAAGTTTCACACATATTCAGTTGGATCGTCAGGAGCTCAAGAGTGTTAGAAATTGGAAGTTTCACACATATTCAGTTGGATCGTCAGGAGCTCAAGAGTGTTAGAAATTGGAAGTTTCACACATATTCAGTTGGATCGTCGGAGTTCAAAATTGTGAACAACTGGGAGTTTCACACACATATTCAGTTGGATCTTCAGTTAACTGTTGAAAAAATTAGGACTCCACTTTAGCTTTTTTAGGCTTATCTCTCTTAGATACTGACCAGTAGTTTAACGTGGTGAGATACTGACCAGAAGAATAACGTGGTGAGATACTGACCAGAAGATTAACGTGATGAGATACTGACCAGAAGATTAACGTAGTGAGATACTGACCAGAAGATTAACGTAGTGAGATACTGACCAGAAGATTAACGTGATGAGATACTGACCAGAAGATTAACGTGATGAGATACTGACCAGAAGATTAACGTGATGAGATACTGACCAGAAGATTAACCTAGTTACATGAGACTTCATATTAACTTATTTAGACTTACCTCTGTTAGATACTGACCAAAAGATTAACGTGATGAGATACTGACCAGAAGATTAATGTGATGAGATACTGACCAGAAGATTAACGTGGTGAGATACTGACCAAAAGATTAACGTGGTGAGATAGTGACCAGAAGATTAACATGATGAGATACTGACCAGAAGATTAACGTAGTGAGATACTGACCAGAGGATTAACGTGGTGAGATACTGACCAGAAGATTAACGTGATGAGATACTGACCAGAAGATTAACCTAGTTACATGAGACTTCATATTCACTTCTTTAGACTTACCTCTATTAGATACTGACCAGAAGATTAACGTGGTTACGTGAGACTTGAGATTAGTTTCATTAATAGGCCAGGTGTAGATTAGTTGTTAGCGAGATTGGATTATATATCCAATTCGAGGCCTATTGCTACAAAAATGCGCTCCGAACTTTGGGGACTGCGGTGTGCTATAAAAGTAACTGTCAAATCCTATTATTCGGCCAGAAAAGAGTAGCCCAAAAGCTAACGGTGGGAACTGCTGTCCAGACGATTAACGTAGTCACGTGATTCAATTTTAAATTAAGTGAAGTTAAGATTTTGTATTCGCTATTAAACGATTAGTTGCTCCATATAAAACGTTAATAAAACAATATATATATACAACGTTCAAATCAATACACAGTTAAAATCATTTCAAAATAATGACTCTACGTGTTTCGACCTGTCACACGTCATCTTCAACATGTCACACGTCATCTTCACGAGTGAAGCTGAAAGAGATAATTTTCACATCTTAAATATCACGTGACCTGTCTGTAATTTTACATTTGTGCATAAATATCAGAACAGGTTTCGCTCGCCACATTCTTAGACAGATATTCGCCGGATCTTCATCTCTATTTAGTAATATATAATTGTTTTTAAATGTCGTTATTTCCGCCGATTCTCGAGTATCTGTTGCTGTAAAACCTTTAGGTTGAGCTAATACAATTATTATTTTTTCCATAACATATTATGTTGGGTTTTACTTACATGTTCTGCTACAACCGAATTTTCTGTTTGTTTTTTTTTTTTTTTCATTTTTTATACATCTCTTATGTTCGGCTATACTATATTTTAAATTACGTTTTGTTTGTCCGATATAGATACTTCCACATTCACATTCAATTTTGTAAATTCCAAATTTATCCATTAATTGTACATCATCTTTATTATTGTCTAAAAATTGTTTTATCTTTTATATCGGTTTAAATATAGAGCAAAACATTTGTTGTTGTTTAAAAATTTTAAATCAACCAGTAGCTGAACCTGGAATATATATGGTAACACGAAACATTCCTTCTTAATTTTATCCTAACTTGGTTTCAATGTGATACCTTGATCTATTATTGCCACAATAGTGAATTTATTAACTGTTCTGTCTACGATATTTGGGTTAAATCCTCTTTCAACTGCTGTTCTATCTACGATACTTGGGTTAAATCCTCTTTCAACTGCTGTTTTATCTACGATACTTGGGTTAAATCCTCTTTCAACTGCTGTTCTATCTACGATATTTGGGTTAAATCCTCTTTCAACTGCTATATATTTCATCAGTAACAACTAGATTTTATTAGCTGTTCTAACTACGATATTTGGGTTAAATCCTCTTTCAACTGCTATATATTTTATCAGTAACAACTCGATTTTATTAACTGTTCTATCTACGATATTTGGGTTAAATCCTCTTTCAACTGCTATATATTTCATCAGTAACAACTAGATTTTATTAGCTGTTCTATCTACGATATTTGGGTTAAATCCTCTTTCAACTGCTATATATTTCATCAGTAACAACTAGATTTTATTAGCTGTTCTATCTACGATATTTGGGTTAAATACTCTTTCAACTGCTATATATTTCATCAGTAACAACTCGATTTTTAGATCATCTAATTTTGTACATCTCCTCAAAATTTTGTGAACATAAGTGTAAAATGTCGACATTTTTGTGTTTCTGTGTGACATGATTCCGGTGTGGTGGCATAAACACACACACAAAAGGTTTCCTATAAATAAATGTTTCTAAAAATCCCTGTTCATTCATTTTTTACCGATACATCTAAAACGTTCCTTCCTGTTCATTACTTTTTACTGATACATCTAAAACGTTCCTTCCTGTTCCTTCCTTTTTATTGATACATCTAAAACGTTCCTTCCTGTTCATTACTTTTTACCGATACATCTAAAACGTTCCTTCCTGTTCATTACTTTTTACCGATACATCTAAAACGTTCCTTCCTGTTCATTACTTTTTACCGATACATCTAAAACGTTCCTTCCTGTTCATTACGATAGGTGGGGAAAACTTTTTTTAAAGCCTTTTTAAACAATACAGAACGTTTAAATAAAATGATCTGGGAATGAGGAAGAATGCTAAGTATGAGAGATATAATGTATTTTTCCATCAAAAGAACATTTATCTATAAAGTCAATATTTATGTCGTTATATATATTTCATTTGAAAGCAGTTTACCTACAGACTCATTATTCGTATCTCTATATATTATTTCTAACTGTATAGCATCTAACTGTATAGCATCCAACTGTATTGAATCCATATTTTTATCAAGTTATATTTTT